CATGTAATCAAAGTTAGGACTTATTACCAACAGAATAATGAATAAAGAGGAAGATGGTTACAGGCAGTCTCTGGTATGGAGAAAAATCCCAGGCTGACTTGTGAGGAACTGGTGGATGATATGAAAGGGTCAGGGCATATGCAACACTTCACAGGTATTTTGAGATGCACCTAAAGATGCATGAAAGGCCATTTGATGCTGGTAGCTCAGACATAAGTAAGAATCCACCCTCTAACATGAGGACAGCTGAACTACTGGACTAACTAAATGAAGGAGGAACAGCAGAAACAATGACTACAACTATTGTCACAGAACAGATGACCTGGTCAGGAAAACTGTAGCTGAAGTTCAATATAAGTAAAGTATAAGGTGGCTTGACTTTGACAGTTCAAAAAGATTCTGGTAATTTTTTTTCCTGAAAGCTAGATCTTCATTTTCTTCCCCCTGTACAGCAGGCTGGTTTTCTCTTCAAGAACACCATTATTCCCCTTTCCAGTTCTTTCTCAAAGCTTAATGTTGGGAGTTAGGAAAAAAAAGACAAAATATCTGCATTTCTAACAGTTCCCTGTTTTATTGCAGTACATCAAAGTAGGTTAATATTAAGTGTGTTACCAACATAAAATATTGGTGGTAAATAATTTTTACATTGTTGACTTTTCCACCTTAAATATTTCTGTGCAAAAGAATCTACATCATTGTTCTGTAGCAGAGAATCTCTTACAGTGTCCCCTACAACACTGAGGGCATTAAACAAAATAGTGAGAAGAGGCAAAAAGCAGAATCTTTCCCCCACACGCACACTTGTCAGCTTTTATACTCTAAAACAAAAAAGTGATTACATCTATGCCATGCAAAACTGTACAATAATATTACAATGAAAAACCTAAAAAAACCCATATTTTAAAAATAAATGATATGAAACTGTCATACATAAAAAGGCAGGTATAATTGCTCTGAAATACCAACACTGGTTTGTTTGTGGATTTCTTCCCTGTGGATGAGACTTTCTTAAATGCAGAATAAAAACAGGTTGTACTGAGCTGCGGCTGGAATGAAAGACAAAGTAGAGTTGGAATTCAGATTGGAAAGCCTGCAGCAGAGTGGTTTCTGAGGGTGTTCAGCAAATGTACTGTGAAGCACGCAGAAGGGTGCAGTTAGTGTTAGTGCAGAAAGTTGTCCCATTTCCTTCAAGGAAGTGACTCTTATTAACAACAAAAAAAAACCCAAACCCCACAGCAGAAGCTACTCTGTGCCACTTTGATTTTTCAGACTAAGGCTCAGGAGGTGTGGGTACTTGTACTGCAATAAATTTTAATCTTAATGTATTCATTTAAAATTAAACAGAGTGCATAAAATGGAAAAAAAAAACCCCAAACCTTCTTCCACCCAAGAGCATGTTTGTCCTGTCATTCAAGGGCTGGCCGTGCAAGACAATATGGTGCCAGAGTCTGTTTCTGTGTTAATACTCCAGCTGTTTTGTTTTGAAAGGCTGACACACTGGGAACCAGTTAGGTTCAGTTAAACTACGTTTCTATAAATAACGCTATGATTTTGGGGCTTTTTTTTGGTGTGACAAAACCATTAACTTCCCTCTGCCATATACCTGAGGCTAACACACCTGGCTTGTAATTTTATCAGAATCAAATCAAAGAGAGAACATTCCTGACTCAGTTTTGAAACTCGTTAAAATGGGCAAAATGCACATTCGTAACAAGCCACAGCAACCGAGAAGAAAAGAAGCAACTACTTCACTGAAGCCTCAGGAATGTTTCTTTGAAACCACCAGCTGTTTTCTACAGGTCAAAGGTGATAGAGAAGAGGGTACTGTAACCCTGCTTTTGGGTTTATGAAATGTGGAAGGAAGTCACCTGTCTGTGTGTGCACATGTGCAGGGGAAAACTATTTACCAAACCTTTTTCATTCTATAACCTGGAATCTTTAGTAGCTGCCTGAATCTGTTCAGATCCTTTGTTGCCATCAAAATAGGATTAAAAAAAAAAAAAAAAAGCAAAAACTCAACAACCCATATGTTTAAGCAGTGTGAAAAATGTGAACATTTTCAGTCTCAGCCAAAAGGAAAAAATCAGCTAGATACATACTGTGTACAGAGAATATATGCTACAGTCAAAAATTCCATGGGAGATTTTAAGCTCCCCGAACGAAATGCAGCCCTCTGACTGTGAAGTTGAAGCAATGCTACAGTGCAAGGTAGCAAACATCAAACCTTAAGAGATAACTGTCTTTTTGAGATACCAGTCAAGAGTCTTACAGTTCAAATGACCAAGTTACTTTTCCTAGCCCAATGAGTATTTAAAAAGCTCAGCTACAGTATGCATATATTTTCAGTGTTCACACCAACAAAAAAAGATGAGTGTGCTTTAAAACTGAGTGTATAATCAAATGGTCCCCAAATATATAAAACTATTCAAGTCCTAGGACAATTTTTCTCTTTTCACATAAGTGATGTGGTCATTTGCTTTTCAACTGAGAGAACAGTTGCTGTTTCTCTTTTGAACAGATGTGTATAAAAATGCACAGTACCAAACTAATGATTAAATATAGTAACCCTAAAGGAGACTGCCAAGGCTTAGGAACTGTGGTGTACAAACAGTGTAGGCCTGTGGAGCTCTCATCCTCTGGAGCTTAGTTTTGTAACACAGCTGACCTACGCTCTGCCTGAAAATGTCAGGTTTTGATATCAATAGATTGCAGGCACCTTAATGGAGTAAACACACGGGTTTACTCAATTTAATTGTTTGCTGTGTCATGGCTCTTTGGGTTCCATTTTCAGACAGAGCATTAGCTCAACTGCAAAAAAAAAAAAAAAAAATCCACAAAAAAGATCCTGGGACCCTATCTCAGGGGACTGTCTTAAATGACCGCTATTTCAATGCCTTCTCTCAACATCAAAATAAGATTAATGTTTAAATACAACATACAGTAAATACAAAACTAGTCTGCAAAGGCTTTGAAAAGTGTGTGGACATGCTTCACCAAAAGGAGGGAATTGTGGGGAAAAAGCAGTGGCTATACTTGAAGCAATATGCAGCCTTTAAAAAGAAGCTGATGTGGAATTTTAATCATGCCAATAATGCCCTGCCTATTTGTCCCTCAGAAAGACTGAAAACTATTCTGGGAGGAATTAATTTAAAGTGCTTAGCTGTTTGCTAAAGCTTTTAATATTAAATGCCAGACTTGCAAAAGTAGTAGCTTTGAAGTGAAAACAACCAACACAACAAGCTTGCTACTCTGAAAAACCCAAACAGGAGAGAGACAGGCTTTTGATATGATGATTTATAAAAAAAAAATATTGAATTCCTGTCCTAAAATAACATTGAATGAGCTTAAACCTGGACAAGCTTCTTGATTCAGAGTGAAAGAGAAATCTTACATAGGAGACTCAGCATGATTAAATGATCTGTCTCTCATTCCCTATTTCACATTTAGATCATACCTGGAAATCACTGTACATGGTTGGAACTTGCCCATAACCTCCATTAGGGAAGACACAAACTGGAAAACTCCAAACATCTCTGTGTGGGTGAAACACTATATGCTGCTGACTGCAAGAATATGGAATGGTTTAATAAGAGCAATAACAAGTTTCCGAAACCCACAAAAACCAGTATTCTAAATACAAAAAGCCCTTAGGTGTTTGAGTATGGTCATAGTATAAAGCCAGCAACAATACTACTGAGAGGCTCGTTTGAACACACTCCCAAATGAAACACACATCTGCCTTGCTAACTAAAGAGAAGAGACATCTTCCTCTTACCACCCATTTGTACATCAGTCTCTCACTTTATTCTGTTGACTGCATGACCAGCTTCAGGTTTTTTTTTTTTATTTTTGCAACTTCAGTGGGCTCTGTCTTCCACCACAATATTTTCTGCCTTCCAACCTGACCTGCTATTGGAAGCAAACAGCAGGTGAGCACATAGAAACAACTGCAAATTGCACAAACCCACAGCACGGGTGAGGAGGGAGAAGAAAACCAACCTTGCCATGCAGCATGGCAGTTGTGGGTGACCAGGCATCTTCGACTACCACAGTGTGAACAGTGTGAGGTCAGTCTTCAAGGTTCTTTGTTGCTACAGTGACAGCATAGCCAGCCACAGCTAGCTTTGGGCTAAGGGCACACATTTGGCTGACGTTTATTAGCAACTAGTATTTGGTAACAACAGTAACGGTTTGCTGGTTAGGGGTGGTCAAGGAGATACAGAAGCCTGCTCCCTTCCGAGTTAAACCTACTCAAAGGCTGACCCATGGAAACAGTTTTCCTGCTG